GTTGAGCAACCAGACGGGTTCATCACACCAGGGCAAGAGCAGAAGGTTTATTTACTGAAGAAGGCTCTCTATGGGTTGAAGCAAGCTCCTAGGGCATGGTACAGCAAGACGGATAATCACTTGCTGAGCTTGGGTTTTGTGAAGAGTCTGAGTGAATCCACACTCTATGTGAAGAAATCAGGTACTGCTATTGTGATTGTATCTCTTTATGTAGATGACTTGCTGGTGACAGGAAGTAATAATAATCAGATAGAGGTGTTCAAGCAAGAAATGATGAAGGTGTTTGAGATGACCGATCTAGGTCTGATGCATTACTTCCTTGGCATGGAGATTCAACAAGGGCAGAATGAAGTGTTTCTCTATCAGAAGAAGTACATGAGAGAGATATTGAAGAGGTTCAATATGGAGGAGTGTAAGAGTGTGAACACTCCGATGATTCAAAAGGAGAAGTTGCAGAAGGATGATGAGGAGGAACCTGCAGACGAGAATGTGTACAGAAGTCTAGTGGGATGTCTTATGTATCTCACATCCACTAGGCCTGACATCATGTACACTGGTTACTCAGATAGTGATTGGGCTGGGTCATTAGATGATATGAAGAGCACCTCTGGCTATTGTTTCACTTTTGGCTCAGGGTGTTTCTCATGGTGTTCAAAAAAACAAGATATAGTGGCTCAGTCAACTGCAGAAGCTGAGTTTATTGCAGCAACAGCAACAGTCAACCAAGCTGTTTAGCTGAAGAAGTTGATGCATGACTTGCATCTAAAGCAAGAAGAGAGTGTGAAGGTGTTTGTGGATAATCAAGCCACTCTAGCTATTTCATTGAATCTGGTTTTTCATGGAAGGACCAAGTACTTTAAGATCAAGTATTATGTTCTTAGAGAGATGCAGAAGGAAGGAGAAGTTCAGTTGGTGCATTGCAGCTCAGAGGAGCAAATAGCAGATATCTTCACTAAGTCCTTTAATGTGGATCGTTTTCAAGCTCTTAGGAGCAAGTTGGGTGTTTGTAGTATTTGAGTCAGGAGGAGAATGTTAGTTAACTCAAAGCTACAAATACAAAGTTTGAATGTTAGTTTTGAATTGGTTTGGTCAAAGACCTAGTTTTTAGGAAGTTGTTGATATTCCTTTTTTAGTTGTTGTCAAGTCTAAGTTGCTATTCTTATGAGTTAGTTGAGTAGCTAATTATGTGGAGATAGTTATGTTTATTTTTAGTATCATAGTATGTATTTATATGGAACACTAATGAATCAAATCATTACTTCCCCACTTTCTTATTTCTCTCTCAATAAGTACATCAACAATTTCAAGTATATCAACATTCAAATAAGGTATATTAACAGTATATAAAACCAGGTCTATCAATTAAACTATAATTAAAATTTATTTACTAATTAAAATAATTTTTATTATTTTTTAATGACTTTTCCTCAAATATCAATCGACATCGACAGAGTCGGGATCCAAAATCAATACTAAAGTTCAAGATTGAAAGACTTTGGGGAGATTGTGTTAAAAATATCTCTCTTTCCACTTCAAAATCTATCCAGGAGGATCAAAGGTAGCTGTACCTTGGGATTATATGGGGCTCGAGCCCCACTCAACTTTGAATAATTTAAAATTAATATATAAATTGTGTTAAAAATATAACAAAATCTGTTGATGGCCTACAGTTTTAACAAATAAAATAGCCAGTGTGCAAGTCGGTTCAATGTCAGGGTGGTTCAAACTTAAACCGGTCTAGGATTAAAGAAAAAATAATAATTAAAAAAATTACCTCCCCCATCTTGACTCTCTCAAGTCTCCCACCACTGAGGTTGTTGTCTAAGTCGTCCAAGCTCACTACACCACCGATGCCATTGTCTCCTGCACCGACGACGACTGCAACTCTAGTTTTCCTGCCACCGCCGAAGAGCCCCTGCTTCGTCGGTCAATATTAATGAAAAAAATGGGTATTAGAAATGGAAGAAGAAGAAGCAAGCTAGCCAGGAAAGACGAAGAATGATCCGACTTCCATTTTAGAAATTCTCGAATTAGCCTATAAAAAAAAGGAAAAAGCCCCAGATGAGTGTGTGGTGTTGAATTAATATAATAGATCAGCGAAAGAAAAATGAAATTGTCGTTGCGTTGGTGCATGGTGTGCCGGAGATGGAGGTGGTGCTGGAGACGACGACGTCGATGGTGGGAGGCAGAGGATTAAGATGGGGGAGGTAAGTTTTTTTTTTAATTATTGTTTTCTCTTTAATCCAAAACCATATTAAATTCGAACCCAACCCTTGAACCGACTCGCACAGCTGGCCATTTTATTTAACTTAAATTTATTGAATTTTGTACAAAGTCTCCGTTCGAAAACATTTTGCTTGAAACTCAAACAATTGTAAGGGAAAAAGACGGATAAAGTGTAATGGATTCCAACGGATGCAGAGCCTCAAAACGCCTTCTCTTCGACCGCCGCTACGGTTGGGTGTTAGTTTCTCCTTTCTCTCGCTTTCAGTTCCCCAATCTCTTAATCTGTAATTTCAATTTTCATCATGTTTCCTTATGTTTTGTAGGATTGATGAATGGAGAAACCCTTCCCACGAAGCTCTAGCCGGTGGCCGAGGAATGTATGCGCGTCTCTTTGCATATATATATGTCTCCTTTTCAATTTTGTTTCCCTTTTTTATCGATGAAATCGAGAACGCGTGTGTTGATTTTCAGTTATAGATGAATGAGAGAGAGGCTCCTTTTTCGAATTTTTGGGTTAATTCTTGTTCATTATGAGAAATGTTGTTCTATTTTTCGTTTGATTAATGCATTTGTGCTCTCTCTTATTTTGTAGTTTAATTTTCTAAAAGTTTCTTATGAATCAAGCAGATATCCATTAACTAGACTTCTGTTTTATAGGTTTTGCATAGTGCCCCTGGCGAAAACTCTGGTTAGCTCAGTCTCACAGATGGTATGGTTCTAACTTTATCCAGTGTTATTGTTTTTGTTTTGTTTTATTTTCTCTCTTGGGAAAAGACAAAAAAAATTGAATTGGATCAGAACTGAAAAAGTGCAGAAAGGGAGGAATAGGAAGAGGAAACCTCCCTCCTAGTAGAAAGAGTTGCGAAAATAAATTCACTGTCAATGTTCAGGAAGTTGCAATTCTAAATGAACTGTAGCTTTTAGGTTACATGTAATGCATATTACATCTTTCGATGTGAAAAATTATTTGAGTTCTAACTTTAACAAGGAGCTTCACTTGTTAGTAAAGAAAAGAGGAAGTTTACAAAGAAAATTAGATACATGGACGCAACTAGATATGTGAAAGTGAGCTGAATCCGAAACGTCCTCCGTCGACACTCGAAAGAACCCTCCAGTTTGCTATAATAGTCTCCCTCTATCCTTGGGTGTGTAAGACAGTCTCCTCCATCTTATCAAGTGAAATATAAGGCAGTGCAACAGAACACCCAAAAGTTCTCCCGTCTTCACTTCACTAGTGGTTTAGAGCAAAAGGACACTTAAGGAGATTGATTCTATTGGATCGCCAATTGAGAAATGTATTCTAGGAGGGATAAAAATGGGAATGTAACTCCTACAAGTTAGTTTTGTTACTTCTATCCTATCTGTTAGTTCAGGTTAGCTGTGGGAATGACTTCAGTGGAAGTTACTTGGGGCCTAGGGGAGCACGTAAGGATTAAATATGAGGATAATAAGCGGTTTGGGGATATCAGGGTAAGAACTTGTGTTTTGTGTTGTATGTAGAGAAGATTGGCTTAAATTGGTCTACGGCTACTTTCGCTGTTATATTCCTTTGAAAAACTCTTCAAGAAATAAAATTTTTTCTAATAATTCATATTCTGCGAAAGAACACACCATTGGGGATGAAGAACCATATCAGAGGACTCGAGATCAATCAATGGTGCTGACCTTTCAAAGAGCAACTAGCCACAAAAAACCCTCCCCTTCTTCAGGAACTCGACTTTCCACAACTTCTAAAATTAAGGAAATAAGTGTCATCAGTTGGGGTGATTCCTCATATCAAATAAGGGGAAGGACCTTTGGCTTTTCCTAATGTCTTGGTACTCGTTTTTTTTTAATTAGTCCCAACTCATAATGTGTAGGAAAATTCTCTCTGGGTGGTTCTGTTGGGTTTGTAAGGTGATTGCAAACAAAGTCCCACATTGGCTAGGGAAGGGAATGATCACGAGTATATAAGAGAGGACAATTATCTCCATTGGTGTGAGGCCTTTTGGGTGAAACCAAAAGCAAAGCCGTGAGGGTTATGCCCAAAGCGGACAATATCATACCATTGTGGAGATACGTGGGGTACTCGGGGTACCGTTGTCTTTAACAAGTGGTATCAGAGCCATGGTCTAAACTTAGCTGTGTCGGTGAATCCTCGAGTGCCGAACAAAGAAGTGGTGAGTCTCGAAAGGTGTGGTCATGGTGTAATCTGTAGGTGTGCTCTATCAGGTTGTGCCCAGAAGCCTTGGATAGGAGCAAGCTCTCGTTCGGGTCCGAGAGTAGACGGATGAGTGACTACTTGAAGGGAGTCTCGGTGGTACTTTGTTCGAGGGGAGGATTGTTGGGTTTGTAAGGTGATTGCAAACAAAGTCCCACATTGGCTAGGAAGGGAATGATCATGGGTATATAAGAGAGGACAATTATCTCCATTGGTGTGAGGCTTTTTGGGTGAAACCAAAAGCAAAGCCGTGAGGGCTATGCCCAAAGCAGACAATATCATACCATTGTGGAGATACGTGGGGTACTCGGGGTACCGTTGTCCTTAACAGGTTCCTCATGTTTAATCAAGGTTTTAAGAGAAGGATTTCATATTCTTGGATGCACAATTCCTTCAACATAAACCGTGGAGCAGTTTTGGACGTTTTTCTGAAAACATTGTGTGAAAGAAAGTGCAGATGCGCTTATTCTTGATTTTCCTTTCGTTACAGGTTAACGTTGCAGCAACATCCACCGTTAAAGCTCTTGAAAAGCCGGAGCTTCTTTCACCTCAGGTACTACAAGCTGGTCTCCATGAAAGGCTTGAGAAGTTCCTCGGTGGCTTGCAGAAAGCAAATTCTCCTTCCCTTCCCACTACATTGCATCTACATGATGAAAGAATGGATCGGAGATAGCTGAATGAAAATTGATCCTCACTCGCTTGAGAGATTAAGGTATGTACTTGCCTCAACAAATTAGAACTATTTTTGAGTCACTCATGAGTACCGTGAACTAAATTTGTTTGTGTCCTATTTATCCAACGTCATCCCAAGATATGGCTTTATATGCTTCTTTTTCCCCTCCATTTTCAGTAGGGGTGCAAGGAATCGATTCGGTTTTCCTCTTTTGCCTAAAAATTGACCCGACCCGACCCAGTTACACCCCTAGTTTTCATCCAACGGTCTAGTCTAGTTCAGTTCCTCAAGTATTATGTATAAAATAGAGAATCATTTCAAGTGGAGTAGGAGACGAAAACTTCTGATATGTGATGTGGATTGGATTGTGGGTGTTCTATAGCCAATGGTATAGTTTTGTTTCAGTTCCAAATTATGTATAAAAAACCATTTTAGTTCTTCTCACTAATTTCTCATTTATCTGACAGAACAAAAGGAACTAGAATGGTAAAGCAGTATAATAGCTGCCAAGGATTCTCGAGGTACTTGGAACTTCTCCGCTTGAGTCTAAACTAACTAAACAATTATCTGCTTCATTCCTTCCTCTCACTATATTATTTACAACAAATCTCTACTTACAACTTGTTTGGGTAATTACTAATGTACCCTTACTATCCTATTAATATTTCTAATCAACGTTCCTATCATATTATCATTTAACTGTTTTAATCAATGTTCCTATCATATTATCATTTAACTGTTTTAATCAATGTTCCTATCATATTATCATTTAACTGTTTTAGAACTCGACTGCTTTAGTCTCCTACCTATGAGTCCAAATATTTGTGTGTGTTCAGATTCTTTTTGAACAATTTAGGAAGAGGATAAAAGATGACTAAAATAATCTTTTATGTAGAGTTCAGGGGTAGAATATAGAGTTTAAATAGGGTTGGGTTTTGGATTTGTAAATATAGTAGGAAAAAAAGTTTTAAAACATCGTTCAATGATAGGCTATATCGACTCACAACCTCTCGATTTGAGATATATATCAATTACCGCTAAGCAATGCTCGCTTTTGGCATACATTGATAATATAGTATAGGCATCTATCAATTATATAGTCTATCAATATGAGATATCTATCAATGATAAGTGTCTGATAGGCCACATCAGTGATAAACGTCTATCACTAATATAATCTATCAATAATAGATGTATATAATCTATTAGTGAAATAGTATATCACTGATAGACGTAATATTAATAAATAATTGATTAGATGTAAATAAGTGATATAGGAGAGTAAAAATTGAATTATGTAAAAATGTCTCAATAGCAATGTAAATTGGTATCCATTTAAATTTTTCTAAGTTAAATGGATCGAATCATCTTTTTCTTTTTTACGCACGTGGGGTTTAGAATCGAACTCACTATTTTTAGATTGAATTATGCGCAACAAAATAAGATGTAAACTGCAAATTATAAATAATATCATTACAGTTTCACTGGTTTGCACATAGAAATAAAATTAAGATTGCATATTGTGTTTCCTTGCTAAACCCTTTGGACCACCAATAGCAGATGGCTAAACGAAAATAACATCAAATCCCCAAGCATCTTGGAGAAGAATATTATATTATTCTTTTCAATTTTAATTATTTTTTAAACGTGTGGAGGAATTTATATTTTTAAAAATATAGCACTTTCAAAAGAAAATACGCAAGATGTCATTATGAATTTGCGATAAATATTTATTTCTTAGAAATTTCGCTGGGAACAGGATCGAAACATTTATAAATTTAATATATATTTTGAAAATATTACAATTTTACTTTTTTACACTTAGATGCCAACTCATGGTGTAATACCAACAAATAATATTATATTAATATAATTTGTAATTAGTTGCCATGTCATTATTTTCATAGTCAAACATAACCAAAAATGTATTTTGAACCACAAGAAAGAAAGTATTATTATGTTGGTTTTTCTTTTCTTAAATTGACATGTCGACCAAAGATGGATTTAAATGATTTTTTGAACCAATATATATTTTAATTTTAGGACTTGTTTGATAGCGATCATGTGTCTTGTTTCTTGTTTCTGTTTCTTCATAAAGAAAAATGAATTGCATGATCTTAACATCCATGAATTCAAATGCGATAAACCAATATTTTTATTTATGTTTTGGAACAAATTAGAAATGAAAACAAAGAGACTTGTTTTGGTTGTTTACTAAATTTCTATATAATTTTGAGAACATTTCCATAAAAATAGAAACATAAACAATAAACATAGTTTAATCGTAAAATGTTTAGATTTCTTAAGAAAATTGGAAAAGAGAAACAAAAACCGTAAATGTAAACCAATACTAACACCAAAAAATAATTTATAATTCCCTTTTAGAAATGCCACGTCATTAATATATTACTTAGATCAGACTAAAATAAACTATTTTTAAAATATATTAACTAAAATAAATATTTTTAAATTATTGGATCAAAAGCTTGATATTTAGTCAAAACATGTACCCACCTAACCGAACCGACCACATTTTTCCCATTTTTTTCCCTCCGAAAAAAAAAGAGAAAAAAAAAATTAACCTCCAAAATCCAAATTACAAATTTTCTTCCCCTTCGAGAAAATTCATTCATTCATATGTTCAAGATTGCCCCACGTCAAATAATCCCAAAATCTTCTCCATTTTCCCATCCAAATAATTCACAAATAAACTCAGCAGAAAAATCGAAGAACAACAAGAACAAGGAGCAAAATCCCAAAAATCCCAAAAATCCCAAAAAAAAGTTGCAGAAGAATCTTCTCGTTTCCCCCTTATCCCTCAGCTTCAGCTCCATTGATGAGCTGATCCCTCTTCCTCTCTATAATGCGCCCTCTCCGGCCGCCATCTTCAGCCCCACCGCCATGTCTCCACTTCTCTCCCCCTCTCTCCTCCTCCTTCCTCTTCAGCTTCAGACCCAACAACCGATTCCACTTCCTCAAGCCCTGTTCTTCTCTCAAGCAATCCAAGAAGCCCACTCTTCAGAAGGCCCCCACCGGCGCCCCCCAGAGCTTCAAGTGGCTCTTTAGCCCCAAGGGCGACGACGACGGCGAGAAAGGGAATAAGGGTTCGGCGGAGGGAGATGGTGCCGCTTTGGAGGGCGACACTGCGGTTAAGGGCACCCTCTTGGCCGGTGTTTTGCTTGTTGGTGTGATTGGTGGGTTTGCATTTGCGGGATATGTGTACAGGGATCCGATCAATGCGTTCTTGAATCAGTTCTCCACGTTTATTGATGGTAATTTTGTGATGGGTTGTGTGTTTTTTTGGCGAATGGGAGATTGGATTTGTTAATTCTTTGTGGAATGTTCGATTATTTTGGGGGTATGCTCATTGCTGTTTGAATTGGTCTGAATTATGCATTAATTATCGCAATGGGAGGTTGTTTCTTTCTTAAATTCTTGTTGGGAAGTTCTGTTTGCAGATTCTATTTGTTTGACAATCATTTACCATTCTTCCTCCTCCTCCTTTTGTAATCGAAACCTCAATTTGTGTGGAAGTATGATTTTAGGGGTGATTTTGGTATGGGTTTTAAAATATTGAAAATGCTTTTCAATTCATGGTTTTAGAGATTCTAACTTTTAAGTACAAGTAGAACTTCTTCCAAAAAAAATTTCAGCATGCTTATAGGAAACTGCTTTAGTTGAAAACACTGCTTTCAAGATCATCCCAAACTCACTCTTATAGATTTCTCTTCTATCAATTTTAGAAAAATTTTAACTATGCTACAGAATGCTGGAATAGTGGAATTAGGGGTGATCATTGGTCAGTTGGTGTCAGTTTGTAGCTCAAACCGACGCCAACCACCAAAAATTCGATTTTTGTCTGTCAGAGCTCAACAGTTTTGGAAGGTTCTACAACTCTGATTGGCCGACTACACCAGCGGTCGATCGTTTTTGGCCAAAGCTGATGCAAAAGAACAGAGCTGAAAATAATGATGGTTAAAGTTTAACTTGGCTCTTTTTAAACAGAACCGATTGACTAAATTGGTTATCTGTTCACTATCACTGTATTTTTGTGGAGTAACTTAATCATCTATCTCCATCTGCAGCTATCTACTTTCTAGTTGTTGTTTCCAAAATCTAATAATTGTCTTTTATTCATGTTAAAGCATGTTTGGTACTATGATAAATGTTTCTTCTTTAATTTAGCTACCATTTCTTTTTTTTTTTTTAATTATTTAGCATCCATTATCAAAGGAAAGGGATATATTGAATTATGAGGAGCTCTCCATTCCTCTTAAGGATCCCAATTCATGCAATTGATAACATAGAGCTTTTGATGAACAGGATATGGTCCAGCAGGATATGCTCTATTTGTAGCAGTGTATGCAGGATTGGAGGTATACACAGAATTTTTTCTTTATTAAATACGTGTAGGAAATTTGCCTTCCATTATTAAAGTATTTACTAATTCCAATGAAAGGCTGGCCTTAGTGGTGAGAACTTGGGAATTGGAATGTTTGGAGTTGCTTTCCAAGATCCTAGGTTCAAGCGAGGTAGAAAACTTCGGGTGTGTTTGGTTGGTGATCCAAAAACAGAAATTTGAAAACAAGTAATTTAATGGAAAACAAAGTTGATATCTTCACTATTTTTTAAAATACGTTTAGCAACCGAAAAATATATTTGTATAGTCCATTAAAATACTATTCTTGCCAAGGCCTACAGCATATATGCTGATAGTATGAATATTGTTTTCCTGTCTAGTTGCTCTAGCACATTTTAGTATCCCATATGGAGTTTGCAGAGATACTTTCATGGTGCCTATTTTGTGTTTCAAGTTTTATTACTACCCATTATGAAATTTATGGTATGATTTTTTACCTTTTAGATCCTTGCAATTCCCGCCATTCCGTTAACAATGTCAGCAGGACTACTCTTTGGCTCTGTAATTGGGACGGTTATAGTTTCCATAAGTGGAACGGTGAGTCTATCTTGGTGCTAGTAAAACATAGCATATGCCTGCTAAATTTTAGCTTATCATCTCCAATGATTTCAGGTGGCTGCTAGTGTTGCCTTTTTGATTGCTCGGTATTTTGCTCGTGAGCGTATTCTTAAGCTCGTAGAAGGAAACAAGAAATTCGCTGCCATTGATAAAGCCATTGGGGAAAATGGTTTCAAAGTAGTCACCCTCCTACGTTTGAGCCCCTTGCTCCCATTTTCTCTAGGAAATTATCTATATGGACTCACATCTGTTAAGTTTGTTCCCTATGTATTGGGAAGGTCAGTTCTCATTTCCTCAATGAAAGTAAAAAATTGTATCTCTATCCCGTTTCCATTACTAGAGAAGACGTTCACATCCATAAATTATTTTAGCTTTTCTTTCGTTCTACTTACTTTCCTGTTGTCCTCTCCTCAACGAGTTGTGTCAGTATATACATAATGCTATGAGCGTGTGAGTTTCAGAGGTTGTGGAAAATGTAAACAATTTATTATCTTGAATGCAGTTGGCTTGGGATGCTTCCGGGAACATGGGCTTACGTCAGTGCAGGTGCATTTGGACGAGCGATTATTGTAAGTTTTCAACCCATCAGCCGTGATGTATTTATATTTTCCACAACAACATTTTACCTTGTGAGTTGAGTAGCTTGTGTTTGGTTGACGATGCTCGAGACGTGTACTTTCATCTTTGGTTTTTCCTTTAAAGATGGTCTATGATCTGGATTCTCGGTCGGGTTTACCGTCTTTATTATCGATCCTTTTCCGCATTTCCAACTTTCCAACCAATTCCGGGTTTATTTCTGATGTAATTTTACATGGGGTGTTTGTGTTTCAGCAAGAAGAATCTGAAGTTGGTTTGCTAGGAGGAGGCAATGGTCAGCTGTGGACTCTGGGACTGGGATTGTTGGCCACAGCACTTGCTGCTGCATACGTTACACGATTAGCCAAGGTAATGAATGTGTCTCCTTCATTCATTACAAGAATTGTCTTTTTTTTTTAATACTTTCCCGGGTTCTGTCGCTACTACTAACTTTATGCAATCAATCAATGTATATAATGTATATAATCTAGTCTAATTCCGATACGGCATAGAATGAACTCATAATCAAGAAATCGACTCGGTCATCATATTTAGCTTATAAATTCATAGGTTCATGATCCTATATCATTCCCATTTTAACTGGACTCTAGAAGATTAACTAAGTATGATATCCCAAACAATTTCAACTATTGGATTCAACGATACTTCTAGTCCAGTAGACACTATCATACATACATCCATATTACTAATGTTGGAAGGGCACTGCGCACGTAGTATTTTGAGGTCATGAGTTCAACGATGGTAAACACTTATCTAGGACTTTTAAATCTTTTTGAGCGTGAATACTAAATGTTGTAAGTTTAAACTGTTAGTTCCACGAGATTAGTAAAAAATACATGTGAACTAGACGTGTGTTTCTTGAGATTAGTCGAAAATATACATACGTGAACTAAATACGTGAATTGGGTAGGTGGTTGCTGTTAAATGTTGTAGGATCGAATAGTTATGGGATAAAACCCGTGTTTTCTTTTATTGTTTGACGAGATTTTAAGTTGGGTCGGTAATGTTGCAGGATGCTATGAAGGATATTGAGTAGACATGGCGCCTTGCAAAATGTTGTAGGTATAAAATTAAATTCATAATTGAATTTTGGAAAAATTGGCCAATGCTCTGTATATTTTTTTATTTGACCAATTAAAACAGAGACACTTCTTCCTGCTGCTTATAATTGTACAATTTCTACATTAATCAATATAATTAGTCCCTAATTGTAATCTTCATTTTTGTTTACAGGATCAGATTAAATCAGTTTTTTTTTTCTCTCTTTTCCCTCCTTTTTGTTTTGTATTTTTCCTAGTTTTCCTTTCTTTTTTTAAAAAATGATAAATTAGAGGACGAAAATATATTTTTCTAATTGGTTCTTGAAGACGTGGTAGTCACTTGTTGATTAGGTTTACTGATTAATTTTAGGTG